AAAATGGTTATACAATGTCAAAGACCCATCTTCGAAGCTTATTAAGTGGAGACTTAGATTAGAAGAATATGAATACGAAATAGAATATCATAAAGGAAATGATAATCTGGCCGCTGTAGCGTTGACACGAATAAACATTACACGAGATATAACGAGACTAAAAGACAAAACCACAGACGAGCACTTCGATCTAACAAATCAGACGACGTAATCGAAAGACAATGACGATGCTACGGAATCAAGTATGACTGACTACGATGATTATATAAAATTTTTAGCCAGGCAAATGCCCCACCCCACTCTGAGGAAATAGTAAATCGAGAAGGAATTTAACAAATTGAGAGATTAGAAGTAGATTGCCTTAGAGAAATAGAGTTATTGGTAAAATTGGAAGATATAACCAAAATTTATACACAAACAGGAATATTAGATCACATGTTTTCAGGGAATCTGGTAGAACATATCAGTAAAATATTACAGTACGTAGCATCTTCACACCCCAATATAAATTACATGTTTTCTCGCAAACTAATAATACCATTTGAAGAACAGACATAAGATCAAGAATATTCAAACAATAAAATAATTCAGAGTTTTGTGGAAAATAAAACCCTAATTGGAATCAAAGAAAAATACTACTGACCCAACGTGAAAAAGGAGATAGAAGATATGATAAGTAAATGCGAGACTTTCCAACTTGAAATATTGACAAGAATTAGACCGAGAGAACCCGATTTCATTCCTGACACGTAGAGACCCAAATGACAAAATAGATTTGGACGAAGACGGACTAAATGACTAGCAAATGTAGTCAATATGTATTATCAATACAAGATGTCTTTACCTAATATCTTATCCGTATACCGTTTCCCAATCAACAGGCACAAACTATAATATAGAAATTGATGGATAATTCTATTTACGTATTTTCCATACGCAAGACGATGTTAAATGACTCCTTGTAACGTGCACACGTCTTAATAAGAGATTTAATAAGGTCCTGTACTAAGAACAGATGTAGAGAACGGGACGAGATTTTGAATATAGTTTGTTTTGGAAATAACACTGCAATGCATGCGGGTATAGGATGTACACCCTTTGAGTTGACTTTTAGTAGAAGCACCAACCATCCCAGTGCAATATCGGCTACTACTGCAATGAGCAAGAAAGAAGTTTTTTTT